AAAGATTTTTTTAAGTAGATAAGATAAATAAATACATTATTGAAAAGGCCAAATGGATTTGGTGCATCTTTTAAAGTTGGGATTAAACCCAGAGTGGGCTCCCCCTCCCAAGTGACAGAGGAGCCACCACCTACCACCCCACCAGCTACCATTGACAGAAAAGCAAACCTTGCTGAAGGTTTGAATGGGCAAGTTCACCCCAAGGTGTACTTACTGCAGCAAGGGAGGCTGTCTGCCACGCCACTCTTTTCCCAGGCACTTCTTGCTACAGGAGATCATTGGCATCTTCTCCGGATTCTCTTGAAGACCCTGAAAAAGAAGATCCTGCTTTGTATGTTCAAAAGAACCTCGAGGTTTTATTCTGCTCCCCTTTCCATACCCTCCAGCTGTCCTGAGTTGGTAGAGACTGTCTCAAATCATCCTCTTGTAACCCCCACTTTTTCCTCTGCTTTTAAAATAGCCCAGTTTCTCTCTTCCTCCTCCCATCGTCCCCTTTGCTTCTTGACTAACTTCAATTGCTGCCCTTGCACTTTGCTACTCCGTGTGGAAACATCTCACCATGCTAAAACAGTGGTTGTGGCTCTTAATGAGACATGCCACATTATCACAGGATGTCTGCACCCTACACCACAGGAGAAATTATACTGTTTTGCAAGTGTTGCCCCACCGGACATACGCTGGGAAGTAGTAGCCAATAATGAAAGTACCAAGTCCCATCCTCTGTTCGAATATCAGCCAGCACACCAATGCCTTAAATCAAGAAATAGTTTTCTAAGATCTACAGAGATTTTGGGAAATACGTCAATAGGAACACCCTTACTCCAAGTCATGGAAGTGATTCAACAAGGGCAAATTTGAAAGATCCCATCCAATGTGATTTCTGAGCTCAGAAGACTATCTATGTCCGTCTCTTCTGCCCCCCGCCCGCCAGTTCCAGACACTTAGGAAGGAAATCCCCTTTCACTGTGGGATGAGCTCCATCTTACATCATTCTCTTACTGTATTACAAGTATTTAGAAATGGAAGGGTAGGGTAGCTGTTTGGGATAAGGTAAGAAAACCATCCTATTCTGCCTATCTTTTATCCAGCTCTCATTTCCAGTAGAGATTTGGTACACTCCAGTGGCCATGGGTAGACATTACATTTTCTAATCATTCATCCACTGCTAGATGGATGAATTATCTATCTATCTATCTATCTATCTATCTATCTATCTATCTATCCACATACACATATGGCATTTCCATTTTTTCCACACATATACTAGGGGGGGAGGTGTAAAAATTGGGTAAGAAAGAAAAGGGGGAGAAAGGGGTTTGGGAGTTCTTGTTAGTAAATTAAATCTTCACCAATATGTAATATTTCAGGCAAAAATTGGTATGATAAGAAACAAAGATGGCAGGGACCTAACAGAAGCTGAAGAGATCAAGAGAAGGTGGCGAGACTATACAGAAGATCTGTATAGGAAGGATAATAATATCGAGGATAGTTATGACGGTGTGGTGAATGAATTAGAACCAGACATCCTGAGGAGTGAGGTGGAATGGGCCTTAAGAAGCATTGCTAACAACAAGGCAGCAGGAGACGACGGGATCCCAGCTGAACTGTTTAAAATCTTAAAAGATGATGCTGTCAAGGTGATGCATGCCATATGCCAGCAAATATGGAAAACATAAGAATGGCCATCAGACTGGAAAAAATCAACTTATATCCCCATACCAAAAAAGGGAAATGCGAAAGACTGCTCAAACTTCCGTACAGTGGCCCTTATTTCTCATGCCAGTAAGGTAATGCTCAAGATCCTGCAAGGAAGACTCCAGCAATACATGGAGCGAGAGTTACCAGATGTTCAAGCTGGGTTTAGAAAAGGCAGAGGAACGAGAGACCAAATTGCCAATATCCGCTGGATAATGGAGAAAGGCAGGGAGTTTCAGAAAAACATCTACTTCTGCTTCATTGACTATTCTAAAGCCTTTGACTGTGTGGATCATAATAAATTGTGGCAAGTTCTTAGTGGCATGGGCATCCCAAGCCACCTTGTCTCTCTCCTGAGGAATCTGTACAAGGACCAAGTAGCAACAGTCAGAACTGACCACGGAACAACAGACTGGTTCAAGATTGGGAAAGGCGTACGGCAAGGCTGCATACTTCACCCAACCTTTTTAACTTGTATGCAGAACACATCATGCGATGTGCGGGGCTTGATGAATGCAAAGCTGGGGTGAAAATTGCTGGAAGAAACATTAACAACCTCAGATATGCAGATGACACCACTCTGATGGCCGAAAGTGAGGAGGAGCTGAGGAGCCTTCTAATCAAGGTGAAAGAAGAAAGCGCAAAAGCCGGGTTGCAGCTAAACATCAAAAAAACCAAGATTATGGCAACAAGAATGATTGACAACTGGAAAATAGAGGGAGAAACCGTGGAGGCCGTGACAGACTTTGTATTTCTAGGTGCAAAGATTACTGCAGATGCAGACTGTAGCCAGGAAAGCAGAAGACGCTTACTTCTTGGGAGGAGAGCAATGTCCAGTCTCGATAAAATAGTGAAGAGTAGAGACATCAGACTGGCAACAAAGATCCGCCTAGTCAAAGCCATGGTATTCCCTGTAGTCACCTACGGATGTGAGAGCTGGACCTTAGGGAAGGCTGAGCGAAGGAAGATAGATGCTTTTGAGCTGTGGTGTTGGAGGAAAGTTCTGAGAGTGCCTTGGACTGCGAGAAGATCTAACCAGTCCATCCTCCAGGAAATAAAGCCCGACTGCTCACTGGAGGGAAGGATACTAGAGACAAAGTTGAAGTACTTTGGCCACATCATGAGGAGACAGCAAAGCCTAGAGAAGACAATTATGCTGGGGAAAGTGGAAGGAAAAGGAAGAGGGGCCGACCAAGGGCAAGATGGATGGATGGCATCCTTGAAGTGACTGGACTGACCTTGAAGGAGCTGGGGGTGGTAACGGCTGACAGGGAGCTCTGGCGTGGGCTGGTCCATGAGGTCACGAAGAGTCGGAGACGACTGAACGGATGAACAACAACAATATTTCACGGGGGGGGGGGAGTGTGAAAACAAGAGAAAATTAGATTATTTCATCTAATTTGTCATTTCCATTACACTCATTTTCATTACTTAAAGTATTACAAGTTTGGTATATCCTTTGTAGCAAAGACAAAAGTGATATCAGTTTCAGATCTGATGGTTGTCTTCTTTTATCTTCTTGTATTCTCTCATATTGTTCTTTCTTCTTTTCCAGCTTTCCTCTTTCCAAGTTCATCTTGGTTATTCTGGTCAGATAGTTTCTTTTAAATCTTTATCTAAATCTAATTATTATCTAAGTAATCTAAAAATTCAATATACCGTAGCCTGTAAGTTAGTAATGTATGAACAAAGTTTGGTCTGCATTGCTATGACGATTGTTGTTGTCCCCGTAACATTACACAAAGCTTATATATTTCCATATAAACATTCCTAATCTATTCAAGAGGTGTAAAGTCATCAATTTTCATGATCTCCTAAGTGTGGGGTCAATATATTACAGAAAATTTGTATATAAACGCTCTAAATCTAATTGTAAAAGAGTTGTTCCAATTGGGGATTACAATGAGAACAGTTTCTAAGGTCTGTCTATGAAACAATGATTGAATTGTCAGTGTTGTGATAAAACGACTGTAGTTGTACAAATACAAATATGATTACAGGAACAAATGGGGCACTTACTGCAATTGCAACATCCATTTGCAAAAAAAGGTCTTGTATCGCTTAGCAAGAGCAACTGGTACTTTACCAAAGATGTTTTTCAGGGATTCCTGGATAAGAGAGGGAGAAACAGGCTTTAGACTGTATGCTCGGCTGAAGGAAATTATTTAATATACCCATGAAGTACATCATTAGAACAGGTTTGATCCAGTGGTGCGCTTTCTTCTAATTCAGTAAAGGCTTCTCTGCCAATATAATGAAATAATGGGCAAATTGACGACTTCATTTCATTAATGTCGGATAGTGACTGAGTGCAAAGATGATTTGGACATGGCATAAAAAAGAATAATAGGAAGACAAGAAAATACATGAGAAGAAATCACTTTACGGGTGTAAATAAAAGCATGCATGTCTTTAGAATGAATAATACTTTGGCCTCTGTGGTGTCAAAAAGTACACTTGCCTTCATGCTGCCTTTGAATGAAAACTTACATTTGGGATGAAATGGGTAACGGTGCCCCTTCACCACTTCATTCACAGTGGCTGAATTTAATCAGCTTTAGAAATGCAATGGCAGGAATCCAATTGTATTTGTTAAAAGTGCATGTAAGGAAAATATGATCAAATTCAGCAACCCCATTTTGATGACTCAGTCAAAAATTGACACCTTTTAAAACTTCTTCAAATATGCCACAATCAAATATACATCTAATTATTAATAGAAGGCATTGCAGATAGAGGAATTTGCTTCTGATCCATTTTAAAATTACAAATTATTTGTGTAAAAGTTAAAATGGACCAAAGAATTTTTGATCAGGAAAGCTGGGTGGACTGATATATAAGTCAATGAAATGCAACACTTTTCTTGATCAGGCATTCCAGAAGGCCAGAAGCCGGGCCACCAAAGAGAAAAGAACAGGGGTGAATTCCTCTTTTAGGTTCCCAACGTCTTATAGATTTTAAATTGTATTGAAATGCCTTTAATGTAAGATGCTTTGAGTCTCCTTGTGGAGGGAAAAAGTGAGGTATAAACAAATATAATAAGGATGATGATGATTATTATAATCCATGAGTCATATTTTGGCCCCAAAACCTGTCCTCAATTTATACATGAGGTTGATTTATACACAAGTACACATCATGAAATGTTTTGGAAAGCCAAAAGAAATGCAGCAGAAATTGTATTTAAACTATAACCTTTTAAAAAAGTCCATGAAACATTTGACTCCAGAATTAAATTTTAGAATGTCAAAGTGAGTTTGAAGGAAGTTTCTGCCAGAACTTTTATCATCAATGTTTTCTCTCAGAGACAGAGACCCCGATCCCAAGAAGAAATGGGAATTCTGCCTGCACAAACCTTCCTGAAATACCAACTGAAACAAACATCTGAAGCAAGATGCAGGTCTGAGTTTGTTACTAGATAAGCAGACAGTCAACTTTGAAAGCTAACGTCATGTCTTTTGCATCTTCTGGCTAACCTAATAAAGGTTCCATCTTGATGTATTGCATTTGGCTGCATGAGTAACATAACTATCCTTGAATACATTTTTATTTGACATGATTTCTTATACTTTTCTTGTTCATAAACTGAACTGCATCCATACTCATAGGAACACGCCGTTTCAGTTTATTCGCTGGTATTATTTTGCTGGAGAGAGCAGGCATAATTTTCGGTCTGGCCAGCATTGCTTTCTCAAAAGCGCTTTCTGTCCCTCTCTTTTTCTCCTCTTCCTCTTCCTGGCAAGAAGCCAAATCAAAGGATTCGCTCTCAGAGTGCTTGTTCACTCCTGGAAAAGCAAAAGGATTGTGAACAGACAGCAGGAACACATCGCTTCAGTTTATTCGCTGGTATTATTTTGCTGGAGAGAGCAGGCATCATCCTCAGTCTGGCCAGCATTGCTTTCTCAAAAGCACTTTCAATCCTGCTTTCTTCCTCCCCAGGACATGATGTAAAATCAAAAGATTCGCTCTCAGAGCGCATGTTCACTCCTGGAAAAACAAAAGGATTGGGAAGAGACAGCCAAGACTTTCAGTTGCTCATGCGGGTTTCATAGAGTATCTTGTTATTCACTGTGCACAACAGGATGCTGGATTGACAGCCCTTCAATGCAATTCCCAAGTTCTTATGTTCTTCCTAAAAAATCATCCTGCTTAAGATACTGCATATACTATATCCTTCAGTTGGATGTGCTCTGTTTAACTGCCCAGCCAATGGAAGGACACAAGGTTACTTTTCCAGTCTCCTCTGTTCCATCTGCAACTTTGTGACACTATCACACGTCCTTAAGATGCCAGGAAAAAGAAATGGGCACACAACTGTGATTCTCCGAGTCTGGGAGGCATTTTATGACAGCTAATGATTCCCCAAACCAGCAATTGCCACATCCAGAACCTCTCGCACAGCAAAACCATTTCGAGATGGAAATCCAATCACTTCTTCCTCCTTATCCTCCTCTTCTTTCTCTTCTTCTTTCAGTTGAACTTACATTTCCTTCGTAATTCATTTTCAGGCTTCATTAAATTATCCTGTATTAATGTATTGTCGAAGGCTTTCATGGCTGGAATCACTAGGTTCTTGTGGGTTTTTTCGGGCTATAGAGCCATGTTCTAGAGGCATTTCTCCTGACGTTTCGCCTGCATCTATGGCAAGCATCCTCAGAGGTAGTGAGGTCTGTTGGAATTAGGACAATGGGTTTATATATCTGTGGAATGACCAGCTAGCTCAGAGGCTTTTGAATAAAAAAAGATTAAAGATATGTTAAAAACTGAGATATCAATGATTACAGATTATACTAATCTATACACATAATAAAAGTAAAAATGTGTGCATGTGGTGGAGGTATCCATTTACCCAGGATATAGTTCCTGAGAAGCCTCCAAAGGCACTCCCTACACTGACATTGCAGGCTATAGTGAGTGCCGTGAACATGCAGCCCAACCCCTGACAATGTCATCTCCAGACACCAATCACCCAAGGAATGCTTTCATTCGGAGACCATTTCATCTTAGATGTTCTGTTTTTTCTCCAGAATGGACATACCAGGGTTCCTTTCTCTCTCCAAATTTGCATGACCCTGCCCACTGCCTTTCACTTAGCCCTTTCCTAACCATTCCTATGGCACACAGCAAACAGGAACTGATCAGCAACTGAACAAGAGGTTTGGGAAAAATTCACCATGATTTAGAGGAGTTGTACTTCACCTTCATCCAGAGAGCACTGTGAAACCAACCATTGATGGATCTGGACCACACTTGCCACAGATGATGGAATTTGCAGTACCGTCACTCAGTTCCAGAGACCACTGCAACCCCCATGAATGACGGACCTGGACAGACCCCCCAAGACCCAATATACATCCTGGTGCAGTTTGGGGGAGGATAGAGCACAGAGGATGGAATATGAAGTAACTTCACCTGATTCACCTCCAACATCCTGGTGCGACCCCAACAGCCGACTGCGACCCCCACGAATGACAGACCGGGACCACACTTGGCACACAGACTCCCCATGGCCAAGAGAACATACTGGAGAAGTTTGGGGAAAGTTGACCTTCATGGGAGTTATAGTTCACCTGCATCCACTGGGACAAAACTTGGCACAGAGAAGGCCCATGACCAACTGAACATACTGCAGGGATTTGAAGAGTGGACCCGGATGTTAGGGGCTGTAGTTCACCTGTATTCAGAAAGCACTGAACCCAGCCACTGATGGATCTGCACCAAACTTGGCACAAAGTTTGGTGCAGATCGTTTGGCCAACTGCATACAGGCAGGGTTTGGGGTTGAATGGCCTTGGATCCAGGAGTTGTAGTTCACCCTTATCCAGAGAGTCCTGAACCCAGCCAACGTCAGATATGGACCAAACTTGGCACACAGACCCAACATGGCCAACTGTGCATACAGGCAGGTTTTGGGGTGGATGACCTCTGATCTGGGAGTTGTAGTTCACCCTTATCCAGAGAGCACTGAATGCAGCCAACATCGGATCTGAACCAAACCTGGCACACAAACTCAAAATGGCCAACTTTGAATACTGGTGGGGTTTGGAGTGATTGGCCCATGATTTTGGGAATTACAGTTCACCCACATCCTTATACATTTTCTAATGGGTGCATTCATAAAAACAACAGGAAAGACTGGCTCTTTGTTAAGAAATAGAGCTACAAATTATGAAACTTATATAACCTAACATCCCAAAACCGTGCCTTTTTCAAATAACCCAGACCAAGATAACATACTGGAGAGGAGTTTTTTTTTTTTTGGGGGGGGGGGGGGCGATGACCCACCCGTATGGGAGTTGTAGTTCAACCTGAATCCAGAGTTATTACCAAACAATGCCCTTCTCAAGTAACCCGAGCATCGCCGGGCCCCCAAGCTAGTACTATATAAATAATGGCTCAGCATATGTAACAAAAAAGGTCATACTACAAATAATGTTACAACTGGTTAGTAACCTTGATAAAATACTATGGTAATAATGAGTCCAGAACATAATTATAAAGAAAAGACAAGCAGAAAGGACCAAGGCAACCACAATACAGCTGTCAACATATTGAAGTCCTATATTTGGTATGATTTTTAAAAATCGAAAAGAATTTCACAAACTACTATTTAAGAGCAGGTTTAATAAAAGTTTGGGAGAAATATAAAACTAGATTCTATATGAAAACACCACACTGGCTGTCACCCCTAGAAGCCTTCCAAAGAAGAGAATTAGGTTAGGAGATACGGCCAACCTATAGAGACCTCTTAAAGACAGAAAAAGGGAAGACTGTTCAAAAGGAGGAGGTAGAAATCAAACAGGCCTTTAAAATTTTCTCACGGTTCCATGAGAGACAAATTAAAGAACTCTTCAAAGTGGACAATGCATGCGGCTTTTCAGAGGACAACTCCTTTTGGGACATGATAATGAAATCAGAAAACAAATTGATTACCAAAATCTATAAAAAAAATTATTGGAGACAGAACAAATAAAGGAGTGCTTGATTAAATGGGCAACAAATGTTGGACACCCAATAAAATTAGAGAAATGGGAAGAATTTGGAACCAAAAGATCAAATATACATATGTTTATGAACTAAGGGAAAATTAGCTGAAAATGATTTATAGGTGGTACATCTCCTCACACAAAATTTTGAAATGTTACAATAATGTCTCAGACAAGTGTTGGAAGTGCGGACAACAAACAGGAACTTTTTTCCACGTATGGTGGACCTGTCCCAAAGTAAAAAAGTTTTGGACTGATATTCACTTAGAGATACAGAAAATACTAAGTATAAAGATCAAAAAGAAACGAGAATACTTTTTGCTGGGAATGTTAGAAGTAGCAGAAGACTAAGAGATTCTATTTAATTATTTAGTGATTGCAGCCAGAATAGTGTGCGTAAAAATTTGGAGGCAGAAAGGAATACCAAAAAGAGAGGACTGGCATAAGAAAATCTTAGAAGTAATTAATATGGACCAACTAACTTACTGGATCTCTACAAATCAAGGTCATCCGAAAAAGCAAACGAACTGGGGCCTGGTAAAGAACTATTTTAAGCAGTTGAAGATCAACTTAATAATTTGAATTACGACACTCACAAGATGGCAGATGGGACACGGAGAAGTAAAAATTTTATCTGCCAAATTAATAGACATTAACCTTTTTTTAAAAAAAAAATCTCAGTGTCAATGACCGAAGAATAGAAGGAGGTCTAACCAAGGCCTTTCACCCTCTTTTATTTGTCTTCTTCTTCTTTTTCTCTTCCCCCTCCCTCCTTTTCTCATGATGCTTCCCTGTCTCTTTGTTTCCCACTTTCCTATTCAGATTTTGTTCCCAAACTTTTGATGGGATTTTCTCTTTTTTCTTATTTAAAGTTATAATAAAAATTAAAATAAAAAAACACACTGAAGTCCTCAAAATGAATAGCTCTTTAGGGGCACAGAAACTGGAATGTACAAAATCCCAACTTCCCCACAAGTGATGGGATTTTCAAGACAACTTAATTCATGCTCACAACCCAGGATTTGGTCAACCGATACCATGTTCAGGCTTTGGGCATGAAGTATCATAGGAGACTTAGTTCCTCCTTTAAGCTCTTAGCAGTGTTCATATGAATATACACAAGTACAGGCAGAACCTGGGTTACAAACGAGAGAGATTCTGTGGGTTTATTCTTAAGCTGAATTCATATGTAACCTGGACAGGTACGTTTTTTAAAAATTTCTTTACCATATTTATACCCTGCCCTTCTCACCCTGAAGGGGGCTCAGAGTAGCCTTACACATAGGCAACAATTCAATGTCTATGATGGCACGCCTGAGCCTTTGAGGAAACTATATTGTCTGGCTTTACTCGGGGACTATCTGATACTTTCTGTTGAGATTAAGACACTTAGCAGACAGAGGCCCTTTGAGGCAAGGTGAAAAGATACCAAAATAAGTTTACTGAAACAAGAGGAATGATGGGTTAACTCCACCCGGGACTATCCTGAGGTGACTTAAAACAATACATTACAAAGGGAGCACTTGCTGGGTGAAGACATCTCTCTGGGGTGGTTGAAAGTCTATTTTGCCTCTGGTGCCAAGCGATGGCTAAAAATTGCTTTAATATTCTTTCCT